GCTGCGCCTGGGCTGGGACTGGTCCCGCCGGCGCAGGGTAGCAGGAAACTCTCCGACTCAGAAATTTAGATTCATAAGGCTGAACATGGGATGAGAACACCTTGGTTTTACTTTCATTAAAAAATTTTTTTTATGAGTCAGGGTCTCACTATATAGTTCAGTCTGGCCTTAAGTTTTCTAGGTAGCCCAGGCAGGCTTTGAGCTTGTTGCAGTCCATCCTGCCTCTGTCTCTCAAGTGCTGAGATTGTAGGCATGAGCCCCGCCACTTAAGATTTTTTAAAAGCCTTTATTCACAATTCATATTCGTGTTCCTGGCTGAGAAGCACTGTAGAGTGTTTAGAAGCTGTGTCTGCGACCGGAACTTGCAAAACAGAGCCTGCACAAGAAAGCCAGACCTCGTCCTTGTTTGGTGCAGTGTTAAAACATATCTGAAGGTGGTACTTTTGGGTGAGGCGTGCACTCCTCAGTTAGCTCTGTTCTCTGTGCTTCCTCGCTGCCTGTATTCAGGGGCTCTGCCTTTTCATGGTGTGTGCCCGAGGGCCCTTACGCACCCACCTGAGAGTCGTCTTGTGCCTGTATGCACTGGGAGGCAGCGCCCTTCTTCTAGTGCTGACCGAGCTCTGAGGGAGTTTTAAGACCTTCCTCAGGTACTGGCTTTAGAATAACTTCATCTACACAAAGGAAAGCAGTCTTCTCTCTCTGTAGCTATGTTATTAATTATTTTAAAAAATGCAGATCCTCAGGTGCAGAGGAAACACTTCTTATCCAGCATTCTTTCTAAGAGACAAATCAGTTCTCCAGATGTGTGGGCTGTAACACCTTAGGGCCATCTGAGTTACCTTGAAGACTCTGAGCCCAGGACTGAATACTGCCTAGCTCAGTGCTATCCAATAGGAATATAATGTGGACCGCAAATACAAGCCAAGTATTAACTAATACCTGGTAATTAATACCAGGTAATAATTAATAAAAAGTGAAATTAATTTTAAAATATTTTATTTAATCCAACATATCCAAAGCACTGTCATTTTAACATTAAACCAATTAAAAAATTACTGAGATATCAAACATGTTTTGGTTTAAGCATTGGAAATCCAGTGTGTATTTTACCTGTGAAGCAGAACTCAATTTAGACTAGCTTCATTTCAGAGTGATACAGTTGGTGCTGTATTTGACCATGTGGAGTTAGCCCCTCACTGAGCGGTAGGCCTTGGAATTCAACAAGGTCTCTTGTTTGGGTTGGTCAGTTCTGTGAACCGCCTGTGTGTGCTTTTATTGTCTCAGATGCGCTTGCCTTTGGGCCACTGACTCACGTCCTAATTGCCATTTTTTCCCTGTGCTGTAAGGGACTTAATTTTAGCCATGCTTCCCAGTATGTGCCAAATTTCCTCTGTGCTTCACTTCTTCCTTTTCAAGTCATTGTTTGTCATTGCAATATAATTCAAAGCTTCAATGGGCTGGGATCTATTGGAACGGACCCAAACAAGAAACTGGATTTCTTGTTGTTTATCTGGAACCATGAACCAGAAAATGTTGGACACTTGTTTTCAGTGCTTCATTGAACTGGAACTGAATTGAAACACAACACCTTCCAATGGTGCCTTCTCTGTGGAATGATTTAGAAGCTTTGACCATTAGACCAAGATAATTAATTAGAGTGCGACTTGATCCTAAACTTTCCTTGTCTGATTATTATCATGTCTCATCATTTCTTTAAAATCTTGTGAGGGGGTAAACAACCTTGTATGAGGTTGGAGCATCCTAATGGACTCGGGAATATTCTGGCAAGTACTCTGCAAGCTGTGTATAAAAGGTTTTGGTGCAGGATTCTGTCTCAAACTTCTTGGTGGGCCACACAATAGATAGTGTTGCCTGTTGTTACTTGTTTTTTTCTGTTGTGGGAACCTTGGTGATATTATATACTGTGCAGTGGCCTTATCTACCACAGTGGAAGACATGTCAGCAACCTGTATCATAGCCATACCGTCTGCTTTTGCTCCAATATAGCAGAGCTTACCTGTTGCATCAGAAGCTGATCATACTGTATGGATGCTTTGCTGGATTCCTGTGCAGCGGGGACAGCCACAAGATCCAGTTATACAAGAGAGACATATGTATTTTGGGAGGTCTTGGAAAAGATTTATGTCCAAAATGAGAGAGAGAGAGGGAGGGAGGGAGGAGGGGGGGAGAGAGAGGGGGGAGAGAGAGAGAGAGAGAGAGAGAGAGAGAGAGAGAGAGAGAGAGAAAGAGAGAGAAAGAGGAAGAAGAAGATGATGAAGAAGAAGAAGAAGAAGAAGGAGAAGAAGAAGAAGAGAAGAAGAGAGGAGAAGAAGAGAGGAGAGGATCATCACTTTGTTAGGACCCCATTTCCCTGATGGGCACCCATCATGACTCTATCACATCTTAAAGGTCCCCTCTCTCAACAGTTTTGCATTGGACTTTAAATTTCTGACCATAAGGTTTAGGGACTCATTTAAACCATAACAGTGGGTAATGTGCAAATTGTCACCTCTAGCTTATAAATGTATATGGTTCCTAGAGCCTCAAAACTGTCTGTCTTTTCTCAGATAAGAGAGAAATTTAATATTAAGATTGTATTGGTAAATATATAATACCTGAACAGTAGGTAAAGAAGTTTTGTTTTGACAAAGGACATTTCTATGGGGACATGGCATTGTGGCTTCTTTTGCTTCCTGTTTGTGCTTCTTCGGAGCTTGTCACTCAGAGTTGTCAAAGTCCATTTGCATTCTCACCATGTTCTATTTCAAGTAAGCTAACCCAGGTGAAAGCCTGTGTCTTCATTCTCAGGACATAGCATTCTGAGAAGTGGCTTGACTAAGACAGCTGAGTCCAGGGTTGCCCTTGGAGAGTGGACTCAGGACCTGGGAAAGTGCACAGAAGTGGCTCTCAGGACACTGAGCACGTTCTGAGCATCAGCGGCTGGCTTCAGTAACTCAGGCTCATCCCTGAGTCAGGAGAACAATGGCACCCAAGGTGGCTGGGCCCCTCAGTTGGGAACTGAAGTTGGTTTGCTCAGTGACCCACCTGGTGCTATGACTAGTAGTATAGGAAAGGAGCAAGGGCTCTAGAACATCAAATGCTAAGCAATCCTCTCTTCTACACCTGATTAGCTCCTCCATAACAGTTAGAAAAGACACATGATGCAAACAGATCTGGGAACATAATTTATTCATATACTACACAGGAATTTGTTATTACAGATAGTAGTAAAAAACATACAAGTGATCCTAAGAATTATCACTTGATTTTTACTTAGTAACAAAAATAGCTTGAGAAAATTAATATCACTTAAATAAGACACTGTACAAGGTTTTAAAATATTCCTACTTGTGGATCTATGTGAGCACATGGAGGAAGGTGCCGCCATAAACATAGCAGAGCTCGGTTCTGCAGGTCAGTTTGGGTCCATGTCTGAGGCCTCTGCTTCGCTTAGCTACATGCAGATTCTTCGCAGCCGAGAATCTTTGGTCCAGCTTGCTTTTTTTCCCTTTCCCCCAACTCTTACTTTACACATTCCCTAATAGGGAAGGTTTCAGTTCAAACAACAAGAATTCATCTTTGCCACAGGAATACCCATAAATCTGTGACACTTGCAATTTCATGGTTTCAAAAGGCTTTGGTCGCAGGATTTTAAAAATTGAAAGTGTTTGTGTTTTTGCTTTCCTGAGAAGAGGAAGAAGTAGACTCCTCCCTCAAAAATTTATAGGTTTATTTACTGTGCTATTTCAGAGTTTCATTTTTTGAGCCTCCAAAATGCTGAATAGAAGGTGTGGTGGGGAAGGCAGTGTGAGAGGGTGTGGTCGCAGAAAAACAGGACAATTATTTTCTTGTATTTCTTTTGGTGGTTCAAACACCAAAGGATTCTGTAAAAGTATAATCTTAGTATACAGAAAATAATAAATTTATATAAAGGAAATCTAACAACTTCCAAAAGTTAATACCTATAAGCAATTTGACTTTAATGACCAATCTTTGTAAGACATCCTCAACAAGTTAAAATGTGACTTTAAAGGGCTGTGGAAGTTTATGATGATTCTATTTATTTAATAAAATAACTTAAGGATTAAAGCAAAAATGTGCTGAGTATTTTATAAATTATTATGCTGATTATTTTCATAAATATGTAAATTTTCTTTACTGTTCAAAGACTGGTTAATCCAGGAACTTTTCTTATTTTATCTCACTGAAAACAAATTATTTTCTTATAAGAAAAATAATAAAACTTGTTGAAAAAACTATTTGCAACTTTGGAGAAGAGTGGCAATATAGAATAATTTTGATAGACAAAGCCCCTTTCTGCCTCCTACAGCTGTCAGCCGGAAAAACCCCAATCATCTCCCATAGGAGAAACACACACACACACACACACACACACACACACACACACACACCGCAGTATGGAAGTTATTCTGCTGGGGAACTGGAGACCCAGAGGCCACCCAGCACTGCTGCAGTATTGACCAAAATGGCAACATGTCACTTGCATGGATTTTTAAAAAGCCAAATGGTTTGTATCAGAGAACTCTGGGTTAGTTTCACTTTTGTGACCATGAATTCCATAAGGTTTAGCTGGTTAATAAAGTTCAATTTTTAATACTGTTAACGTCATCTGGCCAACTCTACACTAAGAATATCAATAAATACCAATGATTAGCTCCATTTTCACTACTTTTGGTTGGAGCATTTTGACTTTATAAATACATTACAGTCTTAGCATCGATCCCTCCTGGGATTTGAAATTCCATACCAGAGCACATCACCTGGCTGGGGTGCTCATATGCTCAAGGATATTTCTGGAGTCAAAAAGCAAAAGGAAAAATACAGACAGAGGAGGGTATGCATGACAGTTGTTTCTGGCGAAGAGCAAGTGTGCTGAGCCCCTGGAAGTCAGCTGGGGCCCTGTCGGAAATGGCTGAGACCATGGCCGAGGGGGGGCTGCTCTCACAAAGGGCTGTCAGGCAGGCGTTTCTTGGTTTGTAGGTAGAAGGCCCGGTTCTCTTCAGAGTAGGTGACTTTACTGAGGGGCATTCTGTAGATGTTGGAGTTTGTTGTGGTCACCAAAAGGAACAGTAGTGTGGCCAAACAGAAAGGCCAGGTACAAGATGGCAATCCAACCTGGGAAAGAAGAGACAAGCCGTGTAAGCTTTTGAAACCCTGAGAACTAACCTGCTTACAGCAACACATTCCACATTGGCCCTGGGGGAGCAGTCAGTGGTACATTGCTCTAAATTCCATTTGTGGCCATGGACGATTAGCTTAGGGTCTCAGGGCATTCAGCAGTCCAAATGTTTTCATCCAATTATATCCTTGTCATGGATGTTTTTCTTCCTTTTCAAACACTCGGACTTCTTACACCAGATGTACAAAGATGACACTTGGCACATGGACATGATACTAGCAAACTGTTAAAGGCCCCTGAACACTTGCCATGGTCACAAGGCCCTCTCTGATTAGTCCAGGCTATGGGGACCTCTCTGAGCTTGACTTCCTCTTGGTCTTGCTTTATTTTTTTCCCTTTTGCTTCTCAAACACACTCTGAGCTCCTCAAGGGTATGTCTGTCTTCTGGCAGTTCCCCCAGTTCTGAGAATACCCCTGTGGTTAGCTCTGGTCTTTTACATGGGCCAAATGGGGTGTGATGGAGTAAGGGGGTACCTAAACTTAGGTGTGTGTCAGAAGCATAATATCTATACATCTTATAAGAACAACTCTATCTGAACAACGAGGGATAGCACCTAAGGCTCTCTATTTTCAGTCTTTTTAGCTGACTCAGTTGTAGTTTTTGCAGTTTAGGTCCATTTACTGATGCTTCTGAACTTTCTCAGCTGGGGCTGAGAAACCTTATTGATGAGTGACGGGGGGGGGTTAATACAGATAATAGGTACAAAAACTTTATCGATTAGATATAAAACAGCAATAATAACATCTGGTTCTTTAATCCATTATCCTTTTCCTTCCTTTCCTAATATCTCAGCTGCCATAAGGTTCCTGCTTTCTATTAAAGAAAATGATATTCTACAGTGAGTTTCTAGACATTCATAGCTGGTCTATGAATTCAATAATATGTTGTACAGTTATCAGTAAAGGCATTTTGAAGTCATGCTTCTAACCAAGCAGTCTGATATGTCTGATGAGCCTGGTGACTGCAGCTTACTATGGCGTGAGAAGGCAAGGGGGCCAGAGAGCTTTGGTAGCAGGAGGGCCAGTTATTATTGCAGTCAGGCATCCTTTTGCTCAGTGCCTGCCCCCCCAAGTAGACAGCAAGAGAGTTTTCTGTACAATTGAAAGCTGCTCAATCCCAGGATGGCAAAATGAAACTGAAAAAAACTCACATTAGCCATTAGGTTTGTTAAGGTGCCTCCAAGACAGGCGGTGAACAGGGCTAAAAAAAAAAAAAAAGTGGGAGTGAGAACAATATTTGGTTAACATGCAGAATCGCTGTAAGACTTTTTCCAACACAAATCTCCAAGAAGGTACCCTTCCACATCCCATCAGTTGACTCATAAGCCTAATTACAATATGAACTTAGAGTCAGTAGCTCTGGGTTTAAATTCTGCATTTAACACTTAGGAGCTCTTTGGACTCTGGTCTTAGCCTCTACTTCTTCACCAGTACAAAGGAAGTAAGAGATTATCTCTTTCCGAGTTACATGAACATGAAGCAAATAATGTTTATGTTTAGATACAATAAATGCTCAATGTAGATAGCTTTATGGTACTATACTGTTGTTGTTATAGCTAATGCTTAAGGGAAAAGCCTTTTTTTTTTTTTTTTTTTTTTGCAGTACTGGAGATTGAACTCAGGACCTGGCATTTGCCAGGCAAGTGCTTATTCTACTGAGCTATCTCCCTGGCCCGGGAAAAGCCTTTCATAGAAAACACATTCTCTTGTTGTGTTGAGCACAACTGAATTTAACTTTGGTGTCATTAAACTGACACCAACTGAACAAATTATGGTGTCAGCCTGCTTTCTATACAACCTCACTATGTCTAGATTCCCATTTTAATGGCTACACTTCATAGCTACAGAAAACTATGGTACATAGAAATAAGAAATTGTGACCTCAGAAAACCTAACAAAAATTTAAGATCTTTACCCACAATAATATTTTCCCAAGAACAACTTTCAAGGTTGGCATACAGGTAATGAGTAAACATCTTATGTTTTCACTTAATTGGAGAAAAAAATACATATCCCCTCCATTGTGTTTCCTAGTCAACAGTATAATGAATTATTTCTCATTTGAGTTGCCTCATGCTAATGGGAAAGGCTGGTCTCTGGAAACAGTCCTTGTTTTAAATCCGAGCTCTGCCATTGTACTTGTTGTATAACAAATCGATGAATTTTTCGGAATCTTGTTTTGTCATCTGGAAAAAGGCAGCCTGAAAATCTGCTTCACAGGGAGGTCATGAGTCTCCAGTGAAAGTGTTTGTTTCCCTCAACAGTGGTGGTAAATGGGTCCCAATCTCTGGGAGACAGAGACACTGCTCTGTGCAACAGGGCGTTTATGACATGGGTGGAAAGGCTTCCCTCCTCCTTGGTTTCATCAATTTAATTCATTTTTGAGAGTAATTAATCTGTTCAACAGTTGTTCTCTGACCCTCTGCACTCTATTCCTGCTCTCGTGAGTACCAGGTCCACTGCTGGACCACCCCTAAGCACTTGAGACCTTGTTGCCAATCTCCTCTGTCAGTGCCCACTGGCCTTCTAGGGCACACTTTCAATGGAACTTCATTCTGCTAGGCTGTTTTGGAGTGATCACCAATCTAAGCTGCTAAGGCTATTCAAAGGTAGGTGTTTGTCCATTTGGACTTGCTAGCAGAGCTGGAGAAGCCTCACAGCAAGGGGCACCTCTGCATACCATGTTTAGCTTAGTGGTAATTTCCTCACAGCATTTTTGGGAGGCAAGGAAGAGAAAAGGCCCTTGAACAGGGAAGAAAGACTGGATGTATGCTCTTGGTGGACAGTGTCCCTTCCCGTGGACCATCACTTGAGTCCTACTATAATAAACCAGTATTGACAAGAGACAAGGTGTGCTTACAGTGTCCACAGAAAACATAATGAATTGGGACATTCGATGGCCATACAATCTAGAGGCAGGGATGGCAGCTAGGCCAGGTTCTGTATGTTTCCTTAGTCCTCTTCCAGACGTAGAAATTTGGAAGAATGCCTCTGTAATCAATGTCTGTTATTCATTCCTTGCCACACAAGGCTGGCCTTTTGTTTGGTAGTGTCCAGGTGATGAGGGAAAGCTGAAACTTGCTGTGGCGTTTTACTCATAAGACTTGCTTTGTAAAAGGAACAAGGTTCTGTCTCAAACATGCACATGTGGAGATTAAAATGTCTGATAGGACCCACGGGGGGACGCTCTCACACTGTCAGCAGCACAGAAACGCCGTGGCTCTTTTGAGGGGAATGAATCTGGCATCTATGGAAACTAAAATTGGCATTCCTTTTGAATCATCACTTCAGCTTCTAGAAATGCATGTTATATAAATACTTGTCCAAAATCTATAAGAATGTATTCTTGCACCAAAAATATCCATTGCAGCAGTGTCTAAAATGATTCTAAAGTGGAAGCCATGTAAACTTCCTCCAGCAAGTAGGGGCTTGCCATGTAAGGCACCTGCAGAGGGCTGTCTCCACTGCCTCCAACAGCAGAGCCTCTGCACCCTGCCACACAGAGCCCTCTTCTCCTGACCACACAGACACATCTGGAGAAGTGCCAGATCAGCCCAGGCTCCATGACCCCTCACAGATTCATCACTCAAACATGTATCCCTAGGAAGGCAAGTTTCCAGGACAAGGAAGGAGATACCCAGAGGAAGAAATTGTCATGAAAGGAAAACACTGCTTTCAGAAGATAAAAGCTTAATTAATGAACCAAGAATGAAGAACTCAATAAATGACATGATCGACATAATGGATAGAGCAAAAGAATGATCTGATAAACTAACTAAGCTGGAGCTGGAAACACTAAGAAAAGGTCAAGAATTATGAAAAATGAACTTTAAGCATTGTGTTCAAATAATAAAAATCCCAGAAGGAGAGAGAAAATAATTGGAGAGAAAAGATTTGAAAATGTGAAAAGTGATGATATGCCAAATTAAAAGAAGATATGAGGACTCACATTGAAAGGACATGAGTACTCTCACAAAGGAAAAGAATAAAAACTATGTCGAGACAGACGGAAGGAAAAGTATGTCTCGTATTCACAGAGCAAATTCTGAATCCAAAGATAAAGTAATTCATCTGTAACAAGAATTAGATTCTTTTCAGATACCTCAATAGTAATATATAAGAAGACAGTGGAATAGTCTTTGAAGACAGTTCTCAAAATATTGCTATAAAGAGTTAAGTGTAGGTTTTTTCCGGTAAATTAAATACTTAAAAAAATGTATTTAGTACAGAGTCCAGAAGGTCTCACCGCACAGATCAGACTCATAGTGATCCTACTGTTTTCAGCCTCCCTAGTGCTGGAATTACAAGTGCGTGCCACCACCTTCACTAACTAAGCTAAATAAACCTTTCTTTCCTTAATGTTGGGTGTCAGGTATTTTTTCCCAGCAATGAGAGAAGAGTAACTGAGACAATATCTAATCTAGCAAAGGAAGGTGCAGTAGGCAGAATGATGCTCCCCTCCCTGCTACCATGTCTACAAGCTAAGCCCCAGAATTTGTGATGTTTCCTCACACGACAAAAGGGACTTTACAGCTGTGATTAAGGCAAAGATCTATGGATGTGGGGAAAATCAGTATGAATTTGCAGGTTTGTATCTGCTAACCTAAATAACTAATTTGAAGATAACATTACACAATGCAGTGAGTATTGTTGAATTCCTATTACTTTGTTTAATGAAAATTTAAAAAAATCTTTTATTTATTTGGTACAGGGTTTCACTATGCAGCTCAGAGGTTTATTTAGCTCAGTTAGTGAAGGTTTCAGTTCATACTTAGCTGGCTCCAAGGTGGAGTGGCACATGGCAGAGGCCCACAGTTCATGGTAGTAGAAATCAGTAAAGACCACAGGGAGGAGCAGAAGCTGATCCTCCTGTCTCAGCCTCCCCAGAGCTGGGACTATTGGTTGCAGTACCAGGGATCAAACCCAGGTCCTTGTGCTTGCAAGGCTGGTGCTTAGACCACCAAGCTATCTCCCCAGCCCCTGTTTAATGAAATTTTAAAAATCATTTCTAATGCTTTTTTTAATTACTATTTTGTATTCTTAAAAAAATCAGTACAGAAAGCAGGCATGGTGGTATATGCCTATAATTTCAATACTCTGGGAGGCTGAGGTAGGAGGATCACAAGTTCGAGCCCAGCCTGGACAACTTAGTGACTTAGCAAGATTTCTTCTTTAAAAAATCACTTAAAGAAGTACTGAAAGCATAGCTTAGACCCAGCAATGTCTGTTATAACAAGCATTCTAGGCCATGTTCTGATGCATGTTCAAGTTTGAGAACCACAGTTCTCAAAGAGCCACATGGAATGTCACCAAAAAACCTGGCTCTGTATTTTTAGTTCATTTCCTTTAAAATTTTTTTGGGTCAAACAATAAACATGAAAAGGCAGGACAGGACAAGTGTCTAGCTCTCAAAATTTCCATAGCATAGAATAGTTAATAGGGCCCAAGAGGTTCCCATCTTCACAGTAACTGGTGAGGTAGGCAAAGGGACATTAGCACCCTCAGACAGGGGACATCCCTTGGCTTGCTCATATACCTAGATGGCAAGCAGGCCAAGCTAGAATTGTAGCTCTAACTTCTCATGCAGCACTCCTTTATCACTGGTCACTGACTTTGATCCGCTGTCCTGAGCAACCTTCCCTACCGTGAGTGGGATACTCACCACAGGCCAGAGCCAGGAGGTGGGCCTGCCACGTGAGCGCTATGAACATTCCTCCAATGGCAATGCAGGCCAGAGAGCTGTTGAAACCCCAGAGTCCAGAGTAGATGTCCTGGAAAGGAGCTGCAAGGCTGAGTCCTGTTAGGGGAGACAGGAGTGGTCAGAGCCGTGGACGAGAGGCGGGCTGCTCTGGAGCGAATCTGGGGTGTGACTGTGGGATGCAGGGAAGCACCCTGAGAACTCCCATTGGTCCTTGGGAGGCAGAGTCTTCCAGGAAGATCTTTAGTAGCAAGATGCCAGACCATGATGGGACAGAAGAGGTTCAGTGTTTGGAGGTCAGTCTTGTGCTTACCGGCTACTACCCCCAGCAATGACCCAATCGCAGCGTGCAGGCACATGACTGGGGAGGAGAGCAGGATGGCGACCAGGAAGATGCCCCCTGTCCATGGGTTATCACAGCCATATATCTGACCAACCCCTACGGGCAGGGCTTTCAATAGCTGCAAAAGCAAACATAAAAATGAGGCCACTAAAACTGAATAGAAACCTCTAGGATACATACAAATTCAAATTAGATTAGGCAGACCTTATCTTTCAGTATCAATATTACTAATTTTTAATTTTATTTTTGTCTTTTAAAAATTTCTTAAAAAGGGAATACAAAAAATATTAAAAATTTCATTAGAAATGATACAAGGGCTGGCAAGACAGCTCAGTGGACTAAGTGCCTGCTTAGGCAAGGTCAGGGACCAGCGTTTGATACTTGGAACCACACGCCTTGTGGGCCTGGCTCCCAGGCATGCTGAGTCACTGAGACCAGGTATGGTGGCTTGTGCCTATGATCACATCACTGAGGAGGCTGAAACAGGAGGATCACTATGAATCTGAGTGCCTAGTGAGACCCTGTACCAAATACATAAAAAAAAGAAATGATACAGAATTTCATGAAACAAAATAATAGGAATTCAACAATAGTTGTTATAGTGCATACTGCTATCTTCAAATTAGTTGTTCAGATTACTGTATATAAGCACATAAAATTGGTCAAAAAGTTATACAAATTAAAAAGGAGAGAGAGAAAAAATTTAAGCACTAACTGTTCCTTTCAACAGACCAGCAGAGATCAGCAGTAAAATTATCCAAGGTATACTGTGTATATACATATATAAATCTTT